CGCCTCATACTCGTTGAGGTTCGTTGAGGTTTGTTGCTTACTGTAAGTTTTCAACACTGTCAGAAAGTCTCAAAAGGTTACTTCAGTTAAGTCAAATTTCTTCTCTTGAGGTCAAAAACAGACTTTCACTATCAGTTAGAAAATTCTCATCAGCATGTCTCACTGGAGCTGTACTTCATTTTATACACATTAATAATCCATCAGAAAGCAGAGGCTCAACCATGCATGTAAGAAGCTTATCAGACAGAGGCAGCGTGACTATGCATGAAAGACTTCGGATGCTGATTTCATAGGTTTGCTAAAAAGGGTGGTGGTCTTCATGGTTGTAGTGCAGGATTTGATCTGGGTTTGGGGAGACAGTCTTCATTACCAAAGTAATACTTTTCCTTCACTGGCTCCCTTATTTTAATAACTTTATACACTGCTGCACATTTTAATCTATAAAAACATTGCATCATTTATCAGCAGATTCATATTGGCTGCAAAATAGTCAGTAAATCAAGTTTTAAAACAAATGAAATTAAATGCTGTACTCCCTTTAGACACTTTTGCAGACCACACACAGCTTTCAAAAAGTAAAGTTTCAAAAGTACAAGAATGTGGTAGTACACACTACGACTGTCACCTTCTTATTCTGTTACTTCCAGTACTGATCCCCACACCCTTCCTATAATGTGAAGACAGTTATTGGAAGAAAGGTTTGCTTCACAGGTTAGCTTGAGACTATGATTAGAGGGACCACTATCACTGGCATTATTATGTTGAAAACTGCATATGGATGATATTTTATTGGAGGATTTCACAATAACTACTAATTAGTGCCAAGGCATCTAATTCTATTCTAATCTAGTAATTACAGTCTGGAATGCATGCAGTTAAAGGTAAGCTCATTAAAAACGAAAACAATGACATAACTAAAAACCATCTTTCATTTTGATGGGCCTGTCAAAGAGTTTCAAGATTAACCAATAATCCCACCGTTCATATATCTTAGAGAAATGACAACATTATAGGATGGATCCACACAGGCTAAACATATGACAAAATACAAAGATATTAAATGCACAGTGTTGCAAAATTAATAAAAACAGCAGATCTTTCTCTTTGTGTCATAATGCGTTTTGATTTGCATTTATTGGTTTTTAATGCTCTGCGTTAAAACAGCGCCCCGAACAACTTCTGTGTTAATCTTTTAGAGTTAAACATGCAGTATATCATGTGATCAGACATGTCCGAGTTGCATGTCTGATGGAGGAGCAAAAGAAGGAAAATCCCACTTTGTCAACAAGGATTCAAATATGTAGTCATGGAGCAAAAAAAGAACTGATGTTAGAGGAATATTTGGACACAAAAACCACTTGATGACACTGAGTGCTGTACTTAGCAGCCCAGAAGATGACAGAGCAGAAAAACAGTTTCGTCTGAGGTTGCAATGTTACTCAGGTTTAAACTCACTACCTGTTAGCTTTTAAACACAAAAAATCAGGTTGAAGCTAATTTAGGCATCGCAAAGAGCCAGCAGGGGAGTGTACTAGAAACCAAAGTAAACAAAACCACAGTCGTTACGGATAAGATAAATTAAGTAGTTAAATGTTAGCTCTACATTACCAGAGGAGTCCTTCCGTCCTGTCGTAGCCATGTAGTTGTCTGTTAAAATACATAAATAGGTGAAGAAAACGGTTAAACCTATAGCCAAGCGGGTGCCTTCTCGGGAGCTGTAACTGTTGATCACTGACGAGGTTAAAAACTAAAAGCGTTTCCGCTCTGTGCAGAGCACGTGACCTATATCACGTGACTCTTGCAGAAACCCTCTCGCGCTGACATTTTTTTAACAGTTTATATAAAATTTTTCATTTTCTAATTCGTTTTTTTTTCTACTTCGTTTGACTATTTGTTTTCAGCTTAGTTTATTTCCGTTTCCAGAGTTTTCTTGTTTCAGGTTAATTCTTATTGTTTGATTATTTGTTTAAGTTTATTTCTTTTTCTCAAGCGCCCTCTCGCATGGCCAATCACGGAAGCGCAACAAGGAACACGTGGGTCCAGGACAGCCCAATCACTTCAGGGACACGGGGTCTGACCCGCTTATAATAACGTGACCAACCGTCCTCCCTTCCCAGGACATGTGCACTTTTCATGTTCTGTCCGGGGCGTTCGGGGGGGGGATTTTCGAGATTGATGTAAATGTCCGGGTTTTCCTACAGAGGACCCATATGTGTGACGTCATCCCCGAGGTGCTGCTTTGTGTTGTTTTGCCCTCAGACGGGACAGACAGGGCGCAACAGCGCGCCTGGTGATATTTCAATGATGCCAAAGCACAACTGCAGCTTTTCAGACGAGACGAATTTCCTTCATACCGTCCCGGTACTGATAATTTTTCTTATACAGATGAGGCCTTATTTCTGTACCATTATTTAATTCCAGAGGTTTTTAAGTTTTTTTTGCCCTTGTTGACTTGTAAAAGCCTATATGATATTTTTATTTCATCATTCATTAACCGCATAGAGAAGGCATCGTTTAAATATGTTAAAATTTTCTTTAAGCAAACAGTATTATTAAAGTTCTTCATGACTGGGCCAAGTGTTCTCTTTTTTGGAAATCAAAATATGGCCACACTAGCTTATAATAGCCCCGGCCCCACACCACCCCTTGAAGATCATAAAAGCTTTGTGCAGAACTTTGTGCACTAATTAATTAGACTAAATAATTATTTACTTTAGCTCAAGTTATTACGTTTGCTAAAAAGTTGGGATGCTGTGTAAGACATAAATAAACCTAAAATACAATGGTTTGTTCATTCTTTTGAACATTTCGCTACTGTAGGGGTCTTTGCAAGCATACAGGGCTCTGAGAGGGTGCAAGATGACAACTGTGGAATTCTATTGGAAACATTTGTTCACATCTGTTCATCAAAGCTGGCTTCAGGAACATCCATTCCACTGTAATTATATATTTTCGTTGAGGAAATATATTGTTTTACTTTTATTAATATTAAATTATAATTATTAGTACTTTTAATGTTAGTTTTAGTCTTTCTTAAATTATCACAGTATGGCATATATCAGAGAAAATATTTAGGAAAATCAGTATGCTTTAACTTTTAAAAGCTGTTATTTTAAAATGTTCTTTGTGCACATCCAGTTTTGCTTTTTAGTTTAACTTTGATTAACCATAGCAACTTTGGTATCTAATGTTTTTTTTAATATCTTAACTATTCAAAATCTACATCTACATCCTCAGTAAAAAAATAAATACCCTTTCCGGACGGATTTAATTGCAATGAACCACAGAACAGCACCAACGATGAATAGATGAACCAGCATTGCAAATAATGGACCATCAATGATGACATGGGCCGTAAAATCCACCAAGGCAGGAAGAAGTGCCTCAGCGAGCTGAGAAAGGGGCCTCGCATTGACACATACTTTTTAAGAAGTCAGTCATATCAGTCGATGGAAGTCCAGAGGCAGGAGAATCCCCACAGTCCTCAGGGTATCAGCACCCCGTTCGAAGTTCTTTGTCGTACAGACCCTCCCATAGTCTCTAGATTGGAGCTCAGTCAGATCCAGCCAGTAGCAGTTCCCAGTCTAGAGCTTAGCCAGCCACACCCAATATTAGATTCTAGCCCAGGACCCGGCCATTTAATATCAGCCCCTACGTTGGAGTTTAGCCAACAGCAGCTAGCAACACATTTGTGTACAGATGTAAGCCAGCCACAATCAACACCATGTTCCAGCCCAGAGCTCATCCAGAAACAACCAACAGAATCTTCCAACACTGAGTCTAGCTCACCACTACCAGCAAGGGAAAGGAAGATGGAAGGTAGGAAAGATCAGATTTTGTGGCCCAGAGCCAATGAGTAACCAGTTAAAGTCCAGGAGACTGTGGGAAATTGACAGATTAGTGAAAGAGATAAGACAACTGAGGAAACAGTGGAGGAGGGCCTTTGAGACAGAAAGGAAGGGACTGCAGGAGGAAATGAAGCAACAACTTAGTAAGCTGCGAAGAGCAGAGCACCTCAGACAACAGCGTAAGAAGAAAGAATGGACAAGAACCCTTTTCTACAGCAACCCATACAACTTTGTTAAGGGCCTTTTTGTTGAAGAGAAGAGCGGGTGCCTCAAAATGCCCATTAAAGACCTGGAAGATCATCTGAGAAAAACTTACTCTGAGGATCCAAGGCACGAGCCAGTTACCATTCCGAGTGATATGCTGCCTATCCAGGCACCTGGACACCAAATGATCATAAGACCACCTACATGGAGTGAA